AAATTTTGAGAAATTCCCTCGAGGTGTCACTGAGTTATCATTTTCACAAGAATAGGACGTTACCACAAACAGACTTCAATGTATGAAATCTTGCGCTACCAAAATACGATTAGACTTGTTTTATGAGTATGAGTGTGCGTATACATTATCTCTTTGGTTGAGCTCTCTTAATCTCCTGATAGCTTTTTTATGACTCCCTATTACAGGAAAAACCTTCTGAACATCCTTATCTTTCCAGGAAGTGGCTCAGTTTAGTGACATCCTTTTTCTCAACATTGTCAGATCATCTTAAATGTTGAATTCTGCACAGAGACGTTCTTGATATTCTTGATGAATATCCTTTAAGTTCTTATTTGTGTGAGTAGTCCAAGGAAACAGAGTCAATAAGGAAGTTCAGTGATTGAGTGTCAAGTTATCATTTATGATGTCATACCATGATAAGGGCACTTAGGGGGAGTCCCCCAGAAGGTCTGAGGGACCAGACTCTGGACTCTCATAGCATGTTTAGCCTACAGTTGTTTGAGCTCTAAAAATAGCGTTGGTTATCCATCACAATGATACTTTGATGTAAAGTCTACGTGACTCATTGGTTCTCTTTGACCCGGCCCACCAAGGGAGGGAAACAACATTTGTTTTTTTGGTAGAAGAAAAGTTAATCATTAACAAAGAAGTAAAAAAATGTATTACAATAACAAAATAAGCTGAGCCAAAATGTAACTGAAAGGGGGGTGCTGCCGAAACCAGGTTTGGAAATGAATTTTTTAACCTCCCTACCACTGTGACTTGTGGATTCAATAACCTACCAGTCGCTCATTTTTTTACCTACAACTTTTAATGTAATAAATCATACTCAAGGCTTACAGTATTCAAGTAAAATCTATTAAAGAGAATACAGACATGAGGAGGAGGCGGGGCTCTGAGAGCGTGCAGGACCACCTGAGCGGATGAAGCAGCTCAATTTACGTTGTTTCTTGTCACAGCAGTGTTGCATAGTGCTGTGCTCATGATGGATTAACATTTTTTGTAATATAGCAATGAGTAAGGTCTTTTACCTGCTCTTTTGTAAAGTGTCTTGAGATAACATTTCTTAAGAATTGATTGAGCTTCAACCCAGCAGAAGAAAAAAAATCACAGTTTTTAAGGCGAGTACAGAAGCCTAGTTTCCCCAATTTAGTATCATCCAAATTAGTCCTAATTAATGGAGACCTTCTGTTTTGACCTTTTGGTTATATAACGTCAAGATTTCTTGAATTCTGTTTGAGGTAAGTACTCAATTTTGTCTAAATTATTGTATTAAGTCTGGAGTGATAGGCAGAAACATGATCTCTGAGGTCACATTAACCATTACCTTTGACTTTTGTTTTTCAAAGATCAACGTTGAAGACACCAGAAACTTGCCAATGATCCGCTCTTCCTCTGACTCCACGATTCTCATCACTTTATCTTTACATCAAAATGAATGGTTGTACCAAATTTTGAGTAATTCCCTCGATGTGTTACTGAGTTATCGTTTTCACAAGAATGGGACGGCAGGAGAAACAGACGGTCCTACATGTGCATTCAGACAAAATGGAGAATGTAATGTATTAAAGGCTTCACGTTAGTACAGATAAGTCAAAAACAATGTGTGTGATTATACTGAGATGAAACTAAACTTTAACTTGAACAATGATTAAGTAACCTTCTTTGTTTAGAGTTCAACACTAACCAGAGTGGGATAACATAAACCACAGAGGTCACACTTTGACCTTTCTGTCTCAGCCTGGTGAAAAAAATAACCGTTTAGGGAGTGAAGGAAGTTAAACATTCAACAGGTTGGTCTGTTTGTCCGACTTGAGGACACAGAAACTGTTAAAAAAATCCAACATTTCTCATTTGAATTAACAGGAATAGTTAATGTTTGACAGCAGGGCGAGTGTAGACACAGTCTGGGAATTT